TGATTTAGGTGATTTAAAACAAACAATGACTAGAGGTGGGAAAATGTATTATGTCACCTTTATAGATGACTATTCTAGATATACCAAAGTTTATTTACTTAGAAATAAAGATGATACTTATAATGCCTTTTTATCCTATAAGTCTGAAGTAGAAAATCAACTTAATAAAAGGATAAAAAGAATTAGATCAGATAGGGGTGGAGAATACTTAACTTTAGATAACCTTTGTGAACAGGAAGGTATAATACATGAAATAACTCCACCTTATTCACCAGAATCTAATGGAGTAGCTGAAAGGAAAAATAGAACGTTAAAAGAAATGATGAACTCTATGTTAATTAGTTCTCATGCTCCAGATAATTTATGGGGAGAAGCTATATTATCTGCATGTCACTTACAAAATAGAATCCCACATAAAAAGACTGGCAAAACACCTTATGAGTTATGGAAAAATTATAAACCAAATTTGAAATATTTAAAAGTTTGGGGGTGTCTTGCTAAAGTCTTGTTGCCTGAACCTAAGAAAAGGAAAATAGGTTCTAAAACTTCTGATTGTATGTTTATTGGATATGCTGAACATAGTGCTGCATATAGATTTCTTGTGTTAAGAAGTGATATACTTGATTGTAATACAATTATTGAGACAAAGAATGCTGAATTTTTTGAACATATTTTTCCACTGTCTAGTAAAATTTCTCATGCACCTGTTGAAATAAATAAGGAAATTATTCCAATTGAGGAATTAAGAAGGAGCAAAAGGCCAAGAAAAGAATTTTCATTTGGAAATGAATTCCAAACCTTTCTTGTTGATAATGATCCTTTAACATACTCCGATGCTATTTCTTCTCCTGAGTGTAAATTTTGGAAAGAAGCAATTAAATCTGAAATTGATTCTATCTTGTCAAATAAAACTTGGATTTTGGTAGACTTACCTCCTGGTGCAAAACCTATTGGTTGCAAATGGATTTTTAAAAGAAAATATAACTCTGATGGCTCTATAGAAAAGTACAAAGCTCGTTTAGTAGCAAAAGGATTTTCTCAAAAACAAAATATTGATTATTTTGATACATTTGCACCAGTAACTAGAATTGCGTCTATTCGAGTTTTATTTGCTTTAGCTTCTATCCATAAACTTGTTATTCATCAAATGGATGTCAAAACAGCCTTTTTAAATGGTGATTTAGAAGAAGAAATTTATATGTTTCAACCTGAGGGATGTATTGTATCTGGACAAGAAAATAAGGTTTGTAAACTAATTAAATCTCTTTATGGCCTAAAACAAGCTCCTAAACAGTGGCATGAGAAATTTGATCAAGTATTGATGAAAGATGGTTTCTCGTCTGTAGAAGTGGATAAATGTGTATATGTCAAAATTATAAATGATCAATATGTGATAATCAGTTTATATGTGGATGACATGCTTATATTTGGTACTAGTCTAGATATTGTAAATAGTACTAAATATTTTTTGTCTTCTAATTTTGATATGAAAGATTTGGGTGAAGCCAAAATAATATTGGGTGTTAAAATCATAAGGAAATGTGATGGTATAATGTTGTCACAAGAACATTATACAGAGAGACTTCTTAGGAAGTTTGAAAATTATGATGTGATACCTGTGAGTACTCCTTATGATGCTAACACTCAATTAAAGAAAAATAATGGTGACCCAATTGCTCAGTCTAAATATGCTCAGATTATTGGGAGTCTGATGCATCTGATGAATTTTACTAGACCTGATATAGCTTATGCTGTATGTCGACTGAGTAGATATACTCATAATCCCAACCGTGAGCATTGGTTTGCATTAGTCAGACTAATGAAATATTTGAGAGGTACCATGAATTTTGGTATCCTGTATAGTGGATTTCCCACTGTATTAGAAGGTTACAGTGATGCTAACTGGATCTCTGATTCAAATGATACGAAATCCACTAGTGGCTATGTGTTCACCCTTGGTGGTGGTTCAATAGCATGGAAATCTGCTAGACAGACAATCATTGCTAGATCAACAATGGAGTCAGAGTTTGTAGCTCTGGAACTGACAGGGACTGAGGCCGAGTGGTTGAGAAATTTCTTAGCTAATATTCCTTCAACTAAGGATTTGTTGCCTCCTATGTCCATACATTGTGACTGTCAAGCAGCGATTGCCATAGCTAAAAATAAATCGTATAATTGTAAAAGTCGGCACATGAAATTGAGACATGATGTCGTAAAGCAGCTGCTTAGAGATGAAATTATTTCCATTGATTTTGTGAAATCAGAGTTGAATTTGGCCGATCCTCTGACTAAACCTGTAGGAAGAAAATTAATTCTTCAAACTACAAGGGAGATGGGACTTAGGCCAACAGTTGTCAATAGAGATGGTAACCCAACCTATGTGACTGGTGATCCCATGAAATAGGTTCATATGGGTAATAACAAGTCGATATTGACTGTAAAAGCACTTGAAATTTAAGTCCCTTCAAAATTAAGTGCTTTGACTGCCAGTAATTATGAGGCTGAGTTTAATACTCTTAATGAGTTTATATCCCTTTAGGGAGGTGTATTTAGGGCAGTATACACTTGATAAATTCACCTATATGTGAGTGGAGTGGGGCCGCTCCTATAAGATTTTTTGGCCGAATCTTTAGAGCTCTCATGAACAACCAGGCAGGCGCACGGCCTAAAAAGCGCGACATCGCATTGAACAGCAAATTATGGGTTACAATGTGATTGATAGAATCTCTGTCATACAATAAGAGTTATTGGTTCATAGAAATTCATATTTCACCAATAATTCTGTAAGACATGTTTTATCAATCTAAATTTGGTTCATAGTCCAAAAGACACCAAATTAATTACATTGAATCCAAACAAGTCCAGCATATTTTCTTTTCATTATTCTATATAAAAATCTTTTGAAATAGGTGGGAGATTGTTGTATATTTCAAAAGATTTGTTACTACACGTGTTATTTTAAAACCCATGGTCATGCTTTGACAATTTCAAAGCCTATCAGATTGTTTCTATCAGATAGGAAAAGTTGTTGGCAGGCACATGGGTTTAAACAGAAACGTGGAGCATTATGTTATCCCACAACTTTTGATCAAACAAACAAATCGAAGGCTCTGACATTTAAAGCTTGTTCCTTGAAGTTTGTTTGACGATTTCCAAAGGCTTTGAAATTGCACGTGTCCTGATTTTCTAAACAAACAAAGAGATTCTTTACTAACGTTTAAAACCATTACAGAGGCTATAAATAGAGGCCTTGGGCAGATTCATTCGCACGGCACACACATTGTAATTCTCAACTTCTACTCTCTGCTCTCTCTACTCCCTCTCTCGCTAATTGCTGGACTAAAAATTAGCTGGTTCAAATTCCCTCTTGATAGAAGAGGAAGGCTTGTTTAATCCGGGGGAAACATTTCAATACCCCTGAAATAGTTTCTTAGGACAGTGCTTTCAAGCACGACTCAAGTGTTTAAGTGTTAGTATTGTTCAGGCCGCTTATCACAACAGTTTTTGCTATGATTTCAGGGAGAAAAAAGAAGAGGATTTGTAGTTGGAGATTTTCCATTTCTGAAACTTGCCATTTGCCCAGAAGCTCTTGGATAAGAAGACTAACTTTCTGTTCTACTCTTTCATGTTCAGGTAGGTGATGCGTAGAGAATGGATAATAGAATTGTGAAAGCAAAAAGACCTACTTTCCTCAAAGGAAGCCACTTAATTGATTTAGTTTAGACTCTAATCAAGACCAGGCGAAAGATGAAAAGCATAGTTGAAAAAAACTGCTAATTTTTTTACTCTTAAAAGAAGAATTTCGTTACTTCCTGGCTTGTTTCGCATAGGCTACACAAGCTAGGTTTGATTCTTGTCATATTTCTTGTGGATCATCCGGTGGTTACCGGATTATGAGACGAAGAACGAAAAACGAAAAGGGATGCCATTTTCACTCATCTGTTTTGTCTATCTTTTCAAGAATTTTATGATGGAAGCTTATGAAATTCATGAAATTTTTTCTTGGATATTTGGGTGAATTTGGATTTTGGGGCTATTGTTTTGGAAGAATCATTGAAGACAAAGCCGCGGGCGGTGGTGGCGACGGGCGTCAGTAGAGAGAGATGGCAGAGGAAAACAGTGAGAGGATATGAATAATTTTTTAAAAATTTTAAAAATGCATTACTAATTATAAAATTTGTAAAAATACCCATGATAGTTAAGTCAAAATACCAAAATTAAAAGAAAAAATGGCAATAAAATAAAAAAATATTAAAATAATAATAATACGTCACTTGCCGGTAGCATATAGGATACCGGTCAAATTTCACTTTAGTCTAAAGTATGAGAAGACTATGTAGGTGTTTTTAAATAACGAGGGAGTATTATGTCCAAATGCCAAATCACAAGGGAGTTTTGTGTATTTTACCCTTTGATAATTTTGCCTTTTTCGGACAGAACACATTTTCATTTACAAGAAAGATAGGATAGGATACGTTGTTAGTTATACTTTGACTCATTTTGCTGTTAAACTTGTTAATGATATTTTATGTAGCCGGAATATCTAAAATTTGATCGATGACAAGTTCTGTTCGAAAATTAGCACAGGAAATAGTGGCGCCATACAAGTTCCAACCTAAGTATTGCTATAACACGGATTCCTGTGCATAATTGGATAACATTAATAAGATATTAAGTATCATTTACCTCAAATTAAATTAATAAAGAGTTTGAAATTTGAACTGGAGTATGATATTCTTTTTTTTTCTTTTCTCAATTAATTAAACAATTATCCTACTCTCCCCATTTCCCCATTAAATTAGCCGAAGGATAAGAGTAAGACCCCCGGATAAAATAAAAGACACAAGCCGGTGTCAGAAAACCTCCCTGAAGTCACACCCGTCATCCGATCTGTCAACTTCTCACTGGCCCTTCACTCTAGATCCATACCACGTGCTATCATTAGATTTTCCGCCAGGGATACTTTTGTCATTTTACACCCTATATAAGATCGGTACAGAGAGAGAAACGGCAGAAAACAGAGAGAGCGACGCCGGGAGGGAAAAAGGAGAGGCCTTTAATTTCTGTTTGCTGAAGAGGAGGGAGTTAGCGAGTGAGCCAACGAGTTGAGAGTGAGAGTGAGAGTGAGAGTAATTCGGTGAGTGAGTCGAGTTTATAGTATAACTGACTTGGAAATGAGTAGTGAACGCGGCGGTGGAAGAATGGTAGTGTCGGACCGGGATATAGCGGAGGCGTTAGACGCACTCCTCCGTGAATCGAACCCTAACAACCTTCCTTTCAATTCCATAAACGGCATCGTTCAGCACCTTGAGTCCAAATTAGGGCTAAACCTCTCCCACAAAATCGACTTCATTCGTTCCCAGATCCAACTCTACTTCCAGCCACCTCCCCAGCATCACAAGGACCATTTTACCCTCCACCAAAACCCCAATTTTCACCCCCACCACCACCACCATCCCGTTTCCGCCCCCCATACCCAGTTCCATTCCCCCAATTTCGGCTTCCCGCATCCTCAGGACTACGGGTTTCGGCCTCCGCCGCCGCTGCAGCAGCAACAGCAACAAACGCGGCCCCAACTTCCGCCGCCACTTGCTGCCGCTGTTACTTCTCCGACTCCAGCCCCTGTCGCTGCTCCCGAAGCACCCAAGGAAAGGTGCGTCTTTTTGAATTTTTGTTGCTTTTTTTTTTTTGCCATCATTGTCTGGGGATTGTTAGGTTGGTGAGCGACTGGAGGAATTGAAAATACAAAAAATTAGAAAATTTTAATATCTTGTGAGCTCACCGGTTTCATCCATTTGCTCACCAACCGAGCAGGAAGTCAAGTAAGTTTGCTTTTCTAAATTAATGAGATTACTGGAAAATGTGCATTCACTTATCACGAGAGTATTATTTATTTATTTATTTTGAAAGTAAGAAATTTGAGGTCCAGTCTTGTGAAATTCTCTTTAAATTGCGCCCTAAAAAGAGCTAAGAAGAAAGAGGGTTGGTTGTTTCTGTATCATGTGATTAAACTCTTGAACATAAGATGTAAATTGTGAATGGAAGTTGAGTATAACCATTGCGTGTTGTTTGGAGACAAAGAATTTCATGCTTTTTGATATTTAGTTTACGTTTACTTGTTTAATTCAGTTTATACAGATTCTAATAGGTTAATAATCAGCGTTCACCTATGCCTGAGGGAGAGGGGTTCTTTGGGGGTTAAGGTTCTAATTCTGACGCATGAAGGGAGAAGTTCGGGGGTAATAATTCTGTTCTCACCATCACCTCCCTTTCTTTCCCGGATTTCTGATTGACCCATGAGATCAAGATTTAGTGACTGAAATCTTAAATTGTGATTCCTAATTAGGATGTGCTGATCGAGTCCCCAGTTATAGTAGGTATAGAAATCATTTTGTAACTGGCGAAAGTCGTTCATCATTATTAGTATTCTCCTTAAGGAAGAGCAACCCTTGGTCTTGTTGTCTGCCTCGTTAAATACAATTACCATATTTTGGGGGGAAAAAAACTACCTCTATTTAATTGATAATTAAGCAAATGACTTCTATTAAATAATAATTTCATACATTTCGACTTGAACAGCTACACTTACTTTAAATGAAACATTTATAAATCAACTTTTACCTTTTTGAGTTTGGATACATGTAATCTTTTAATGAACTAAACATGATTTAAGTAACTTAAATCCATTTAGTGGAGAAGAAAACTAATCTAAGAGTTGCACCCATGAGATAACTAGTTGTTAATTGTTATGTAGATCATCTCTCTCTCTCTCTCTCTCTCTAGTCTCCAGCACATCTTGTATCCGCCATGTTGCACTAGCACCAAAATCTAAAGATTTTGATAAAAACATTGAGCTTAGACTGAAGTCTAATATCTCTTCTTCCTTTTAATTTTCCCTTTGTTTTTTTTTCTTTTTTGTTCCATATAAGTTTAGAATGAAGTTTAATGTTATTTTCCTCCTTCGTTATTAATGGTCCTTGTTATTTTCCCCATAAGAGGAGATTTGATACGTTACCTTTTCTTCTTGGCTGCAATCGCAGTGCAGTATATGTGTCTTGTTCCAGGGAGTTGATTTGTAATTCAATTCTACCGTGTAGCTTGATAAAATTCATTTGCACTTATTTGTAGTGCTTCAAGTGGGAAAAAAAGGAGAGGTGGTCCAGGTGGACTAAATAAACTCTGTGGTGTTTCTCCTGAACTTCAGGCAGTTGTGGGTCAGGCAACAATGCCCAGGACTGAGGTTTGGACTGTAGATAACTAGATCTTTTACCCTTCTTTCGTTTTGTTTTTGTTTTCTTCTCTCTCTTTTGCCTTACCTGTATAACAGCTATTTATGTGTGGTCCTAAAACTTCTCCACTTTGTTCAGATTGTGAAGCAACTTTGGGCGTACATAAGGAAAAATAACCTCCAAGATCCTAACAACAAAAGGAAGATAATTTGCAACGATGAGCTGCGTGTGGTATTTGAGACAGACTGTACTGATATGTTCAAGATGAACAAGTTGCTAGCTAAGCATATAATCCCTCTTGAACCTACAAGTATGTATTTTTTAAGTTGGATGAATTTTACTCTTCAGACTCTTGTTGATTTGGTTTTCACTTGTATGCTTTTTTCAGAACAAACAGCTCAAAACGCTAAGAAAGCAAAAATAGAGGTGGAATCTGGAAGTGAAAGTGCTAATACAGTTCCAGTTGTGGTAATATCTGAAGCGCTTGCGAATTTCTTTGGTACTGATGAAAGAGAGATGTCCCAGGCTGAGGTACTACGGCAGGTGTGGGAATACATTAAGGTCAATCAGCTCGAGGTGAGTGCTTAAGTGGTCTCCTTTATTGCTCATTTTTAGTAGTTAGGAACTGGAAGATATTATATTAGCAACTTAACACAGATTTGGCAAGTCCCATTTTTTAGCAGAATACGACTGAAATTTAGGACATGAATCATACAATTGATTTGTGAATATGAGAAAGTAATAGCAATTTATATAATACACGACTTAAATTAATATTTGATGAAGTGTGGAAAAAAATTTTCTTGCAGTTGCTGGATGATCTTAATACAATATACATCTTTTGGAATTATTACATCTTGCTTTTTACATCAGTATAAAAGCTCCATCTAATTCCAAGTTAGTTGATGAGTGATTTCATCTAGTTAACATGTTTGAGATTTTAATGGTACATATCCTTTCCTATATATCTAGGATCCCTTGAATTCGATGGCAATCATGTGTGATGCAAAACTCCAAGAGCTTTTTGGATGTCAGAGTATTTCTGCACTGGGCATACCAGAGATGCTAGCAAGACTCCATCTACTTAAGAAATCATGATTGCTAATCAGGTTGACTGGTGAGTGCTGAACTAAAACGTAGATGATTTTATTCTGAAAGGGTAACTTGGAGTGCCATTATAGTTATTAGGTTTTGAATTACCAAGATAAAGGTAAGATAAAGGAAATTTATCTAGTGTCTCACTTTCCATCACTGTCTGCACTTGGGATCAGTTAATCTGTAGAACATCTAGGCCAGGCAAGACTTGTTTGTCAAGAAATATATTAGGTTCAGTTCCTTTTTTATTAAGAATCTTTTTAAGTTTGTTTCAGTCATGTAGTAATGTTGAGCAATTTCATATCAAGGTTTTTTTTGTCCCTTTCATTTCTACTTAGAACAAGATTTAAACCCAATAAGTTCAAATTGCGGATAATATACTTGATGATCAACCATGATAACTGATAAAATCTAATATTTCTGCAGGTAAATGGTGTTCTGCTAACTCGTTACGTTCTGACATTGGCTAATGTTACTTACCACAAGAATTTGGGTGCTTTCCAACTTCACTTGCATAGTTTTGGTGTGGGTTAGGGAAGGTAAGTTATGATGAACAGAACGAATGTGTATTTTGGGCTAATTGCAAGTTTTGTGTCATAGCCTGTGATTGTTCTAGGTTTTTAATCTATGTTTTCTTCAGGCATCTTTTCTAATGGTAGTTTCTGACACTTGTAAAGATGCAGAAGGTAGGAAGACAGGAGAAATGTAAAAGATGATTCCATGTATTTTCTGAATGAAATATGTAATTCTGAATTTCTGCTGTTTACGAATTGACCAAGGCCGTGATCTGAGAGTAATTAAATTCCTGTCCTATTATACACCAGAAGTTTCCAGTACTTTTCTAGGGTAGCAAAAAAAAAGTTCGTGCCTGTTGCCCTCTGTTTTCAAGAGAGAGGAATAGAATACAGTACCAGATCCAGACGAATGCAATTTGCAAGATCAACGTGGGACATAATTGGACACTTCCAGTTGCATGAACAATCGAGCACGCATGCCAACAAGTAGATAGTGTTTGTTTGAAGAGGATGTGGAATCTAGTTTTTTTTTTTTACTTTAAAAGTAAATGGGAATCTCCTTTTCTGGGAAGGTTCCAATATGAAGTCCAGATCGCACAAGATGAATCAAACAGCATCACATGGTGATCACCATACGGAGAACTGAAATTTAATAAGCGAAGACAAATGTTCCAAGTCAGCAGCACGATGGGTTCCCTTTATCTCTTTTACTAGTATTTAAGCAGGGGCAAGAACATGGTAGAGTCCTGGCGGTACTGCCCTATCTATCCGTGGAGAAGACGGGTAATGGCAAATATGGAGCATGTGGCCAAGTGCCTGCTGGTAATGGCAGTGATATTCCTCGCTGCAGTCGGTGGTGGTGGTGGTGGTGGCCACGCTGAAGCGACACCTACCCATATTTGCAATGTCACGATAGCTGAACTTGCAGAATGCCTCCCGGCAATTACCGGCAAATCACCCCCGGAGCCCAGCGATGATTGTTGCAAGGCCTTGCGCAAGTCTGATTTGCACTGTCTTTGCAAGCACAAATCACAGCTAAGCAATCCCTCAAAGGCGATGGAGTTGCCTGGCAAATGTGGCCTTGAGCTACCACACGAATGCCAGGTCCGAGTCTAATAAGTTGACCATGCTATCGGCCAAAACTCATACGTGCCTCATGCCCGTAATCATTGCTCCGTTGAATAACTCCTCCTAGAGTAGTAGACTGAACGGAACGAATCTTTTGTCTATCTTCTTAGTTCTGTTTGGAAGTTTAGCATCTTTAATTGATTGTTCTGAATCAGTGCCACGTCTATTGCTCTGTCGCTTTTGTTTTTCCCTTTCATAACTCACAGTTTTTTGTATGAGTGTTTCATAACTCGCTTTTGTTTTTGACAAGGGCTTTTCCTTCCTGTACGTACTCTTTGGCCATCACTTTCAGTGGTCTGGTCTCTTTTGTGTTTTAGGCCTTTTCGCCGCAAAAGCAACAGAAAGAAAGACGCTGTCACAGTAGAAGTCATGTTTGTACGTGCACGGTACCTATAAGTCTATAGCCCAGAATTGGGCTTTTTTTTCTGCTCAAGCGTCGTAAAACTACTACTACTACTTAAATGCCCAACTTCAATCAACTAAACGAGATGTGTTTAAAAAGGGTTCAGCTGTAATAACTCCTCGTTCCCTCCAGCTTCATGAAGAGTTGTTGTTTCTTGGGCCACCAAATAGTGGTCTCATGTAAGCATCATCAAACCTCCTCCAATAGTGATGAATCGTGTGTACAGGCCTTTCTAGGAGCATGGACAAGCTATCCTTTGCACGTAGAACATTTGTTGCAGCAGATTCTTCAAAAGAGAGCAAAGGAAGTCTCATATCCTCCTTGGAGATGGTCGGTTCACGGCTTAGGTCTCCAATATTAGCATCATGCGGCGGAAGCAAGCAACTCACAAGTGGCTTTGTTAAAAAGCCAAATACCTGCATCATTTACTTCTTAATCAATTGGCAAACATTCTCTGTAGTATGATACCCTTCTAGGCACCAAGAAAACACTCCACTCAGGAATTCTTTGAGAAATAATTCGTTCAATAAATTAGGACTTCATTACAGAAGTAGAGGTGAGATCTGCGGAATCTTGGTTTCTGAATAAAGCACACTTACTATTGTGCTGAAGAGCACGGCAATGACTGTTGTAGTGACCACTGTGGCGTTGACCGGATCCCATGTAACCCCTGAGTGAGTGAACTACACCAGCCAACAATTACAAATTTGGCATTCATAACACATTCCAGCTTATAAAAAAAGTGAAATGCAACGGTGCTGACTAATGCTTTTGCACAAAGTTTGTCTGAATGTACAGAAAGCGTACCTCTTTGAACGCCAACGCTATGGATACAGCTCCCCTCATAAGTCCAGCCCACAAAATTATTACCTGTTATAGCCAAAAATCAGTCAAAAAAATGTGAGCAATTTGATGTCACCTGAATATAGAAGGTGCTGATAAAAGTACAATAATTGTGTACTTGGTGCTTGAATGTTATTGTGGATGAACGGGAAGCATTTCTGTTTGCATAATTCGAAAGGAAAGACAAAGGAAAGACAAAAGCAGCACGGCCAAGTAGTATCAGGAAGATCAAAATGGTACATATAACGAGCAAGGTCCAAACCCTGCGGCAAGGTAGATAAAAGAGGTTACTTGACAGATGAAATCAACAATTTGTTTATGCATAGACGTAATGTAAATTGGAAACTTTAAAGAATATGTCCCTTAGGATAATTTGGAAAATCATTTTCCCTATTTCTTTTCTATCCCCAAGGGCCCATGTTAACTTCTCAAAACCTCTCAGTCTTCTTAGAATTAACTTCAAACCATATAGAATGACCTTTTCTAACCATATAGATTGAAGATCTTTCTACAAGCTTCAAAGTACATTTACCTCAATTTGCTCAGCTTCCACTTCTCAATGTCAAGTGCATCCATTCCCACATACAAAAATATGAACGTCTCCGCAATAAATGACATTGTAGCAAATACATGCCTGCAGTTAAGTATGTCAGAAACATTTAGCATAGATCAGGTGATGAGAAACATAAGTTGCATCTTTATTTTCTGCTCTATTGATGCAAGCAACAACAGAGTTTGCTAAGCAAGTAGGCAGATAAATCACAGTTATAGACAAAGGCAATAGACACTGCCTGATTCAGGGAACAAACCTGGTTGTAATTTTTGAACTTTCTGTGGTGTTATGCCATGCATAATGGGACATGAAAATCCCACAGAAGAAGACTGTCAAAATCCCACTAAGGTTGAGTAGCTGCAAAAGTCAAGACCAATCCCTGAGCAACACTAAGCTTTATATTGAGGCTACTGCAAACCTGCAAATGCCTGTAATATACATTGAAGGAGAGTGCATACAATATTTTTGATTTAATTTTACTTCTATGTTACAGTGCTTTGAGGTTTGCATGCAATAGGTGCAGGGTCTTGATTGCCAGTTACAGATTTTTGGTGCACCCCACCACCTTGGCTCCGCTTGTGAAGCAGATACAATGCCTAAATTTTTGGTTGTCTACATGTTTTCCAATCAAACATTTCTATTATCATGGGGTTCTCATTTGTGGCATTAACCAATATCCACTTTTTTAGGATTTCTATTGGAAATGTGATTGGTGCAATACATCTGTCGACAAATTTCATACATAAATTTATCCGTGACATTACCAGAAGCAGGTTGAATTCCTTCAACACTGCATTTGCCGTTTAGACTTAATAATGATCTGCATGTGCTAAGCATTCCTAGTATGGATATTTTCAACATCCAAATCAACCATGTTTACCTCAGCCAACATGTAAGACAGGTAAGCCATCAAAACCATCAGAGCTATTTCCCGAACCGTGCAATGTCTGCCACACAGAAGCATTCACTCATACAAGAGGGGCACATTACATAAGAGACTGGCTCACTTAAGTGGTCTTACAGAAGCCACTTGGGAGACTCCTATTTTTGTAGAGCAAGAGATCAATATAAGGAGTTACCTGCCAAAGTACAGACCCTTAAGTACATATGCTGTCAAAAGCCCAGCCTGCAGTGGGAGAAATAAAACTAAGTACCATATCACGAATCACCAGGCAATCGAATTGCAGGGCACATCACATTGTACTATGCCATTGCCTTCCGTCAATTAGCAGTTAGAAAAGCATTTTTCTTAAGGTTTAAGAATATTAAGAGAGCAAAACACACCGATACTCCAAGTGCTGTGCTTGTGGAAAACAGATACAAGAAATCCAGAAGTATGCGAACAGCTTGCCGTCCATGAAGTCTATTCACATCAAGCTTTTGGATTGTGTTGAACAGAACAACCGATGTTGCATCATTCACCACCCCTTCACCAAACACTAGGCTGTACAACAGAGGAGTTTCATCTTGATGGAGGACCTGCATATCCAGCAAGTACACTTTACGAACCTAAAAAACAACTTACTTAATGTAGCAAACTGACAAACTCAGACAAAATTCAGAGCGAACCTGCAATGTACAGACTGTATCTGTCGATGAAAAGATTGTCCCAATACCTGAATTCAAGAAGTATATTAAAGCGCAAATGTAGCAAGTACATCTTGAGCACAGTGATGAAAGGGTACCAGTGCATGCTAATGTCATCACTAGAGGTTTCAGAGGAGTTAGAAAAATAATGTGGAAGTATTCTAGGGACAAAGACAAACCAAGGTAGTCACGAGTAGTCAACCCCACGAAACCAAATTTGGGGAACAGCCACATACTACCTGCACCACCAATAGAATTGAAGAGTCAGGGGCGAGTTTCCGGTTATTTTGATGATCGACAAATATGTGGGTTACCAGCAGAAATTGATCTACATTAGCATATTCCATATAAACATTACGTGACAGATAAAATAAAGGCCGATAAGTTAGATATTTAATTACCAGCTGAGATTATGGTGGTTGAAATGAACACTCCAACCACTCCAAACAGCATGATGGTGAAGAAGTTATGGAAGAATTGTTTCTTCTTGACCTGGAACCTAGCGAAGATGTACGCTCCCCAAGGAATTATAACTAGTTAGCAAGATGGTAAATTAACTTCGTGGGGAAAACATTGATCGTCATCATCTTGTTGCTTACCCTGCATTGAAGATGATGGGCGGAAGGAGATAAATGAAGAACACCTCTTCATCAAATCTGAGAATATGAGAGCTCTTACCCTTGCTGATGAACAAGATTATTGTCCCAGCTAAACATCCCTATAGTGGTTTTTTTTTTTTTTTTTTTTATGTCACGAGAAATCAAACAATTAAGCATTATATTGAGACGCACTAAAAACTGAAGCAAATAATCAGCAACCAGAAAAAAAAGGGGGGGAACAAATAAGAGACGGGGGAAGAGGAGAGGGGCTTTACAATGAGAATGGCAGTGATTGATTCGTTAACCCAACGGTTTTCTTGAAGAAAATGTCCGATGACTAAACATAAGCACAGAACTGCTACAAACACTGTTACTGGAACGACGTGTGCATGGCCCTCTCCCAGCTTCATTACATACTCCGAAGACATCATCATCAACAGCATAACTCATACGATAATTACGCGATCTTCTAGCAGATTTGTATAATGGTACTACTGATCTTGATTCTTGAGTCTCGAGTCTTCGGCTTCAGAATTATTAGTTTATTGCTCTTTTTGATTCAGGAATTGGAAGCAGAGCAGGAGAGAGGCCGTCTCATGGCATTTCAGTTGTGATTTAGTCACACGTGGCATTGAATCATGACAACTATTTATCTACGTGTCAACTCCTGCATGCGGGATGCTTCTCTTTTTCTTTTTCTTTTTTTTTTCTCCAAGGAAATGCATCATGTATGTATCTCTTTTTTATTTTTAGTTCGAGACAGTGCCTAACTGCAGAGGTCTAAATGTTTAATAAATAAATAAATGTAAATACATGCGTTCATACAATAAATTAAGTGTAATTTAGATGCACGAATGTATATCGAATGGCACACTGATTAGAAGAATCTAATTATAAATTTTAGAAGTTTGTATTCACATAGGTACTTGCCACCAGACAATTTGTGAAATTTCACAAAGATAAATCATATTTTTTTTTTAAAAATAATAATAAATGTTTCAATAGTCGTTCTAAAATACTGTCTTCTTTTATGGAAATTGTAGCAAAATAACTTATCATCAAAAGTTTCTATTATGTCATGAAAAATAATTTTTGAAAAACAAATTTTTCAAATACAATGTTGCAATAATACATAAACAAAGACAATTTCAAAACACCACATCCATACAATATATCAAAAATAATTCTAAATATACAAAAAAAAAAATACACTACCACCAGCCCCTTCCTCCTCTCTCCTCCCCCTCCCTTTTTCCCTTCCCTTTCTTCTCTCTTTCTTCCTCCCCCTTCTTCCTCCTCCCTCTTCCTCCCCTCCCGTCTTCCTTCCTCTCCACGTCTCTTCTGCTGCCCCCTCCTCCTCTCCCTCTCTCTAGTTACCG